TTTAATCCAAAACCAGACGCCATCCTCTTTCCACTTCACTTGGCTACTTACCAAATGCAATCCAAAGGTAGTACAGTAATTTAGTTTATTCAAAACAACAATAAAGAATGTCTTTAATTAATTAAATTAATATAATAAACTGATGCGCTTAAGGATACATCGAAGGAAACAGCTAGGTGCGTTAAAATATCTGATTACAAAACAACTATATAAATTCTTAGTCCAATTACTTCTTCAGACATTTTTGAAAAGCTGATATATTGTACGTATGGCTTGTAACTCTTTAAGTGGACTTTCTTTTCATTCCGCCTTCTTAAACTGAAATAACCTCTTCGAACTTTAGTTTTATAAACTCATGTGCAAAATAAACTCATGTGGTTAAGTATGGTGCCTAGTTCTTTGTGAATTTAGCAAAACCCAGATAAAATATTAAAGGTACGTTATTCATACCATCATGCTTGTATATCCATGATGGTCATTTTCTATCTAAAAAAATTATTTATTAAATCGGAATAATTATAACTAATTATTCCATTAATTGTATAAAACCCTAAATAATATTCATCTTAAAAATCAATCTCTTTAGGTAGAGTTTCTAAACAAGAAATTAAATACACTTTTTTATCTATACCTTATTTAAAAATTAATTTGTTTTAATAAACAAAAATAACAGTACTAAGCATTAAATTCTTATGCATTATTTAATTTTCATTGAAATTATGATTTTTTACCTTAAAAATGATACACGTTTTGCACAACAAATTCTCTTTTTTTCTAAGAAAAGCGATTTAAATTTTCCTCCGTAAGCTTTCAAAACAGTTTCAAGGAAAATTTAGCTTTCAGCAGATTCAAGGAAAATATATAATCTAAACAACCATAAGAATTTTCTACAAATAAATAGAAAAATACGGGTATCTTCACACAATCACTGGCACTGGCAAATCATCCTTCCACCAAGAAAATAATTCGTTGTAATTTCTAAACTTATACGAATTCCGTAATTAATGGCATAACTAATTAAGCTATGGTGGTTGATAGCTTGGTGTTGCCATATGTTGCAGGATAATTAAATTTAATTATTGTTGAAAAGAAAACAAAAAAAATAAAATGTCAGGACTAAGGATTCAAGCACATGTTAATTAAGTTTATCATTTTCCCACTCACATGTATTGTATATCTAAACCATATGTGCCAATGTATATATACGGATTTTTGTCTTTTATTATTATTATTTTTTTTTCATTTTATCGCAATATATCAGATTATAGCTGTGATATGTGTCACACATGTTCACTAAATCAAATTCAATTTTACACTTAATATTAAAATAAGAAAGTAATCTATATTTTGCTAACGTAAAATGAATTGATAATGTACAATAAAACGCAAAGAATGGTTATTCGCTTAGATTGTCACAAGACAAAATGTTCGTAATATGTTTTAAAAATAAGTATTTGATATAAACAATCGAGCTTATAATGCATAGACGAAAAAATCCGAAAAGTCAATATATATAATCTTTAAGTCATGATCAAAATTTTCCTTAACAACTGAGCGGGTTTCATTGCAAGCTTAAGACACAATTTATAATATGGTATATATAACATAATACAGATTATAAGCTTTTAAAAAAGTTTTAAAAAATTAAAAATTATCTAGATAGATTTAAAGATAAATAACAGTGACTCACGTTGTCATTTCAAACAGAAGAGTCTGATCATTAGGTCTTTAGTACCACAGTTTGTCTTTACCACAAAGAGAAGGCATTCCGCTTTTCAAATAAATATCATTCGTTAAAAAATTCGTTAAAGCAGTTGAGGCTAAGACCTTCAATCCTAGAACTCTACTCTTAACTGAAGACAAAGTCGAGAAGTTGAGAGTTAGCTTAAAGAATTCTTGCTATTCTAGAGAAATATTTTACAATCTATACAACAAAAAACAATGTATCAAAATTTAAGTCGACACAAAATCTTTGCAATAGTCTTCCAAAATCAAATAAATTCTTCAAATGTTACAGATTTTTTAATACATAAACATATTCTCTTTGCTGTCTTATGGTATATAAGTATAATATTACTATGAGTCATATATATGTCCATAGTAATTGTCACTTATCCGTAGCTCAGTAAAATATTGTAATATCTGAAAAATGTGCATTCCTAAAAAGACTAAGACCAAGTTTTTGTAAACATCCAAAATTTTGTTGTTTTAACTGAAGATTTTTGTCAGATAGAGTATGTTTTGTCACCCTATATAACGGTTAATATTAAAAGTGAACTCATTATCTCCCATACAATCTCGAAAGATTGACAGATTGAACTGGTCTCAAATTAAACTTCACAAAAAATGTAAACGTTTCTGTACTAATTAGAGTACAAATAGATCACTCTCTAATAGAAATCAATATCAATATATTAGCAATAAGACCTACAAACATGTGTTGGAATTGCTGTCATGTATGGTTTAGAGACCCTCAATACCTCTTTGAAGAGTTGACAAATGTCTTTATTGAAGAATTTCTTCTCAATGCTTTTTTTCTTCCATACTTTTTTATTGTTGTAATCTTTAGATCCTCGTGAAGGATTCTAATCCTAATAGACATTGAAATATCTGCCTTTATTGGTAAAAATTGTATAAGACACTAGATTCATGGCATCATCTAAATTAATTGAATTGAAAGAGTTTCTACAATATTTGTCAGGTGGAGTCTTTCAAATTGTCAAATTGTCAGTAGTACAATACGAATTGATCATTTATTTTATTGATAGAATTTCGAAATATGTGACATCTTTAACATACCTCTTATACTTTCAAAGCATATTGTAGATGTTGACTTTTGTTTCTTCTTTTAATCCTTGCTCTTGACAGAGCGTGATGCCGTGATATAGAAATATGATATTAAATTTAAGAAATTTAAATAATAAGTTTACTTATAATCTTGGTTTCTTTAGAAAATGTGCACTGCAAGGCTTTAAACTGAATGTGTGAACCAGAACACCTATTTAGCTTTCAGTGACAGAATATTAATAGTTTTCTTATAAATCTCGTTTTCTTCTAAGCTTAAAAGTGGATTAGTACACCAAAGTACTCATTTAGCTTTCTATATCAAAATATTTCAGTTTTTCAAAACTTTATGAGGAATATATGTAATATATAACTTTTAATTGAAGATCACTAAATCAAAAGATGAAAATATATAACCTAACATTATCAAACCAATGTATGTTTTCTAAATTCTCTATATTGATATCATTATTCCCTAAATAAATGATTTTTTCTTGTAGAAATCTTATATATAGTTTTCACTTTTATATGTACTAGGTTAGGTTAGGTTCGAAAGGCGAGTCCTAACCGTTGTCAGCACTTCCACTCGGAGGCATATATTGCCCATTGTGATGCCCTCAAAAATTTTGCCGGGAGAGACGAGTTGCTAACCTTTATAATCCTTGTTAAACAATTTGGTTTTCCAGATGAAGTTGAGGAGATCCGATAAGTTTTCTTTCATTATCTCTTCCAAGTCAGTGAAAAAGCGATCCCCGGGACATTGAAGTCGCTTTGCCTGAAGTCCTGGACAGAGACAGAAGAAGCGGTTGATAGATTCTACCTCCTCTTCATCTTGGCAACTCCTGCATAATCCGCTTGTTGGAATTCGCCACCTTTGGAGCATAGGTGCAATGGCAGAGTGCCACGCTAGTACTCCAGTAAGTAAGCGAACTGCATGTTTGCTGAAGCCTAAAAGGCTTTTCGTTTTATATGTACTAACATCCATAATAATATTACATCCGATTTTATTGGATCTTAAACGAGTACTCCTTTGTTTCCTTGTTTCCTTGTTCTGTTTTTTTATGAACAATTTTGCGTTGGTGTCATCCAATGTGCTCATTCACCATTATTATCTGCTTAAAATCTTTACAAAATACTTTTACGGATTTATTCAAAATATGCAATCCAAACTTAAGTCGAATTGTTGCCAAAGAAATGTTTTATTGCCAAAGCAGAGCGGTAGATAAACCTGAAATATCACATTTTGCGTGTGATATATTTTTAAACGTCGAGGAGTTAAAAATAAGCTCTATGAACGTAAATTCGAAATTTATAAAAAGTTTCCCCAATAAAAGCAAATGTCTGCGACTTTCCACAAGGTAAAAATACATTAATGCGAAGCTAAAAATAAAGTAAAATTCCCTTTATTGATTTATCTTGTACTCGTATTAAAAACGGAAGTATGTCACAGGTTGGAAAACCTTGTTAATATTATTAAACAGGAAATTTAATAACTCTAATTAAGGTACGGAAATACGTAACCAGATATGAAAGTAGATAAACTAACAGCGCACAATATCCCAAAGAAATTGATTTACAAATACATAATTTATGGTAAATACATTAAAATTTTGCAAAGGAAATGAAACCGAAAAAAAAACACTTCATTTTTAAACATGCATTATTTTTTAATTAATTAAAATTATAAATAATTCGAAATAAAAAATTAAATGTTTAGTGAAATTTTTATTCAAACAGCTTCAAAATGCGTCGCTCATCAACCCGTAATCGCTCCAGTTCCGTAGCGGGCACAGCATTTAGTTTAAATGCCATGAATGCTGCAACCACCAATGCTGCTGCTAATCTAAATGGTAGAGTATCGAACTCATCCTCACCAAACCCAACAGAGAGCACTGATTATTATAATACCCGTCGAGAATCACTTATAAAACCCACTTGGCAACACATCACGCCTGGACAAATACCACCAAAAACTTTGGATAAAATAAATGGCATCACATCCGATGATTCTGATGATGATGACTTTCCGAAACGTCCCAGTATTGTGATGCATTACTATACCAATAACAATAACAATAGCCAATTGCATTTGGGCAACAATAGTAATAGTGGTGGGCTATTGGCACGTAAGGAGTCTATAGCTTTTAATGCGCGTTGTGCAACTGATTTGCTTGCTCATAAAGATACATCGACCGTAACAAAATTGTTCAGTGGCAGTAGTGGAAGTGGCAATGCTACTGGGACTGCTGTAGCTGGTAACAGCAGTAAAGTTAGTGATGTGGATACTACTACTGCTATTGATGATGGAAATGGTGGCGTTAATCTATGTAAAAATGCTGGACGTGCGCTTATGCGTATGATAACGAACCAGGCCACAAGTAGTGTTGATGAAGATGACTATGACGTTTTGGGGAAGGTGAAGAACTTTGTTGCAATGATTTTCAATTAAATTTATAAACTTTCGGTTTTCCAGTTGTTAAACATTATTTTAATTAATTTAAAACTGTTTTAATTTTAATTATGGAGATCAATGAAATGCTTTTGTGTGTTTGTGTGATGAGTATAAAAGCACTTTTTTTCGAATGAATGTTGAGTAAAAATTTAAATATAATTTAATATTATATGTACTCAAATATATGTAAGTACACATATGTAAAACATATATATGAAGCTGGTTTGATTAGTAAGTAACAAAATCAAAAAAGAATATGTGAGAAAAGTTTTCTACTAATTTTTTTAAAAAAAGTTAGTGTACGCCCATGTGTATACCCATTCTATTGTGGTACTTATTTAATCAATAATCGTATGTACCTTTACTTCACTATTTTACATTAGTTATTACATTATTCGAGCATTATGCGCTATAAGGACCATTTTATACAGACAGGCGTATAACTTTTCACGACCATGAAAAGACATGTTGTACAAAGAGTCAAATTTCAATTGTCAATTTCCTACTTTTACTACTCTTTTGGTACGTTTTTTTTTTGACGCAATTTAAAATATATTAATTTTTGTGTGGATATGCGTACATATCCATACAAAAAATACACATATTTACTCCTAATAGCTGCCAATTCAGACTTTTATTACTAATCTACACTGTTTTGACCAACGTGTCGAGGCATAAAAAGCGTTTGACGTGACCATGACTCTCTATATTACATAGTCTTAAAACAATTTGGTGCTCATAAAAGTATAGATGTTAAATATTATTTAATTCCTTAATAAAAAAACTTCTATACATAATTGGCTTTTCCACAAAATTAAATACATATTCCCATTCTATCTTTTACGTCATTTAAGAAATACCAAAAACGTATGAAGTAATCGAATAGGAGTAATGCTGACAAGTAAATATCGATTTCAATGATTTTTTCCTTGTCTTATTGAACAACATTTCCTTTTAATAATCATTTTTTCATTATTTAGACCCTAAAATATTCTAACAATTTCAAACATTTTGCTTTGTTTTTATTTTTGAAGCATAATTCACTAATATTCACTTTCACAATTATTCATTTTCAATGATTATAAGCTGTCGTAAAAACTGAATTTTTTTAATTTCTAATTAAACGAGATACTGTACAAAGCTCTGTTGAGGTTGTGGAAACGTTGACCACAAAATTTCTACCACTTTTTTAATAAACCCAAACTTACATACAAATTGCCATCCATCTCTCTATTAAATAGCCTCGTCATAAAGAAATTTTTAGTGGGATTGTTGAGCATTTTACTAACAACCCCACTCAACAGTAGTTATGTCCGTTGCTGGTACTCTCACAATATTTAAGTCGGAATATCGCACATATTTAATTGAAATGTCGTTGGATTTATAGGTTAACCTAAGGTTAACCGGGATATTCTTAGCACATTTTTAAACAGTGGCTTGAAAATAACACAGAAAGCTCACAATTTTATTTATAACCAATAACAACCATTGTTCCTATTGCTAGTATTTTCGCAACATTTAAGAATCGAAATGTCATGTCTTTAAATAAAATGTCAGTACATTTAATGGTTAACCTTAGGTTAATCCAGACATTTTTGGCATATTTTGTAATGGCGGCTTGAAAATTCCCCAGAGATCACGCAGTGTATCTCGCTAATATTTTCACAACATTTAAGAATCGAATAAAGTGTTAGTGAATTAAACGGTTAACCTGAGGTTAATTGCTTCATTATTATAAAGCACACAGTTTTATTGATAAACAAACAGCCATTGTGCTTCTCGCTAATATTTTTGCAACATTCAAATCAAAATGTATTAAGTCTTTAAATAATATGTCGGTGTATTTATTAGTTAACCTGTGGTTAACTGAGACATTCTGGGCACATTTTGCAATGGCAACATAAAAATTTCACAGAGATCACACAGTTTTACAAACACCCATTGTGTATTTCTCTAATATTTTCACAAGGTTTACAAATCGAATAAAATTTTAATTCATTTAATGATTACGTACAGAAAGCACATAGTTCGAACTATATATATATATAAAATATTTCATTTACTATCAGAAAAGAACAGAACAACTGCTTATTCTATTTTGCTCTCACTCTCACTAACATATTTCATGAGAATTTTATTTTCATACCCGCTTTTCTATAGTAAAGCGGATAGGCCTATAAAAAGGTATACCGATTTTTACCGCATTTCATAGGCAGAAGAGAATATGTCAATCATCTGTTCTATTACTGCTCGGCGCTTTTTTAAAGATTGATATTTTATTTAAAGAGTACCCTCTTCATACGTCTGTCCTACTCAGTGAAATAGGCGTTAAATGCAATATTTTTGACGAATTCCATTCCATTAAGAATTGAAGTGAATTTCAGATACTAAGTATATTTTATGCTGTTTATAATGCACTATTCTACAAATTTTTTTTCTTTATTATAGCACTTTTTAGAAGATGTGCATTTAATTTAAGAAGTTCCATCTTTAAAAGTATGTCCGAATCACTGAAATATGTATAGATCTTAAAAACATTTCGGTTAAAAATTTTATTATGGGACCTGAACACTGGTTTATTAAACTCGCACACTTATTACTTAACATCTATCTATTAATAGTTGAGATTGCACTATTCCTATACAACAAAGAATGTTTAAAAAAAAAAATTTCACTATATATAAGAATTGCATTAAATTTCTCATTTAAATCTATTTTATGCAGTTCATAAAGTACATTCTATAAATTTTTTCTTTTCCTTTATTGTAACTACCAGCATCACATTTTGTTAACTACGCCCATGGAAATTACATAGCGTATTCCATTGTTAAATATTTCTGAAAAATATTTTGAAATTGTAAACTACACAAATGTATCTCATTTTACTTCTGTGGAAATACAGCTTCAAGCTATAAATTAAATAGTAAAACAAATTCCATTCCATGCAAACATTTAGTCGTAAATCATAACATACCGTACAAATTCTCTGTAAATTAATAATATCAGAGAATATAATTTGTATTTAATTTTAAAAGGATTAAATTTAAGCATAACAAGCAAATAATAATTTAAGTAAAAATAATAAACTTTTGCTTCAGGAGCAATAATTGGAATCAATTTTTATCACTCATACGCCCACACCACTACCAATCAGCCAACCAATTGTCAAATCAACACTCTTAGTGTGAACGTGTTAACTTCATGTTAAAAAGTTAACGATTTTTGTGTAATGTAATTATAATATCGCATTTCCTACACCGAAACTTACATTTAGACAACCTCAAAAGCTGAAACCTTTACCACACATAATGCCTAAAATTCTGTTTTCAGTAAAATTCAGTAAAATTATTCAAGTGAAAAATGTCAGCTATGTTTACTGACACGAAGGTTAGACACAACAGCTTAACACCACAATTCCGGGAAGTACTAGGCGTAGTATTAGCGTGCCTTCGGCGTAGTTGAACGTGCCAATCAAAACAAAACAATTACCAAACCACAGGAATATGAAAGCGTATACCAACAATGCTCGAAGTATCTCAAATTCTTAAAACTTTTAAATCAAAACTTCAGCAGCTGCCGCTACTTTGAATAGTAATGCTGCTTTGTTATTGTTCTGTGATTGTCAGTTTGTTGTCCTTTGATAAGGATGAATTCCTGCTAATAAGACAGCAACTGTTTGGCATGTTCTTGACTTGAGATACACTTTGTGCTCTGAAACATTTTTCTATTAAGCGTTGTTTGCTCTCTGACTTGGGCGCAAACTTCTTAACTTATTTTACTTTTCTACTTGTTGCGCTAATAAAACCTTTTATTCAAATGCCAATAAAAAATAAACAGAAAAGAATTTCTATAGATCAGAAAGGAAAATTTCAAAAATATTTTAGAAAAGTTAAATTGGTTTTTTATATTTCAATATTAAATTTTTTGTATCGTAAAGTTTTTCGATATTTTTTCCTTTATATCTTACAAGGATATTTCTTTGTTAGCCATAAAGTTACAAAAAAATACGTTGCTTTAAGGTATATAATGTGTCTAGACATATCATAAATGTTCTTGTAATTCGTTTGAAGTAATTTCTCTT